AATGAAGCATACAAATACAGTGAATTACAAACAGAGCTTTGAAATATGTAACACAATTTCCTATAATATGAAATACAAAACAAATACAATATTTTAAAAGTAACATTTTAGAGTGAACACTTCACTTTTACTTCATTACATTTATGAGCTGGTACTTTCTGCCCCACTACATTTTTGAACAGGACTGAAAAGTAAAAAGATTACTGATTTTTGGAACAGTCTAGGTTGTCAAAAGTATTGAAATTTCAAAATCCAATTCATGCAAGACCTGATGGTGTAAACAAAGACAAAATTACAATACTGTCTGAATATTGTCTTTAAAAATTATCATTAGGTTATCAAAATCTGCATAGCATAACTAAAGACATATTATGACACATTTAACAATTCTCAAAATCTGTGTGAAATACTTCTATTGTTCTTCTAAAACCATACTCTATATAAAGAGGACCACAGAAGTATGATGTCACACATAACATTCAGCTCCGCACAATTTATGATACTTGGAGGTATTTGTTTATGTAGACATGAAAGTAAAACATGTCCACCCTACATTTTATGGTATTCATCACCCTTTCATCTCTGTATAGTCTTTGAATGAACATGTCATCCTGTGCAGAGACGACAAAGTTACACCAACCCATGCCTGTTATTAACAGTTGGCCCTGAATTTGCCAGTAATAGGCGTGTGATAGCTTGAGCTGCAATGATCCATCAATGACCTTTAGGTAGGGAGCGTCCACATAGCTCTGTATATTGGGACATTTGATTTCAACAAGGCCAAACTGCTCTGACGGGGTCAAAAACAATGCCATCTGGTGATGCACCAAGTCATGGTGCATCGGGGTGCACCACAAAACCACATTTGTAATAGTCAAGTCTCTTTATCTGGCAGTACTCCCAGATAGCATCTGCCTCCAACTCCAAACCTCTCTTCATTGCTCCTGTCTGGTGTGTACCTTTTAGGATGCGTTCGGCAAGCAACTCTTCAGAGGCCTCTCCCATGTAGCACAATTCTCTAAAATGTGAAGCTGTTACCCGTGGTCTCCGAAGGTTGTGCCATTCAGAAGATGAACTCTGTTCCTGAGTTGCACGTTCAATCTTATGTGCCATATCCAATGTTGGGAGTAACGCGTTATAAAAGTAACGAATTACAGTAATGCATTGCTTTTTGCTGTAACGCAGTAATGTAAGGCATTACAGGAGAAAAAATAGTAATATTTTACTCGGTACAAATGTGAGTAACGCGCGTTACAATGCTTTTTTAACCTGGATCGAAGTGGTGTGTTTTTCTTCATACAAATTCGCTAAAACCACCAGCATCAGCAGCGGTGAAACGCCGGAGACGTGGCCGAGTAGACCTTCAGGTAACCGCGGGGGAAGGACTGACACAGAACTCTACGCTGTTTAGACCTGGTTTAGACCTGGGTCAGTTCTGGTTTAGACCTGGTTTACAGTCGTCCGAAGTGCTGTATGTTTGCAAGTTTTCTCTCCGACAAAACCCACAACGTCGACAAAACGTTCTGCACTGACAAAGGCTCCTGCGCTCGCACCCAAAAGGCAGAGGAAGATGCTCACTGTCGCACAAAAAGTTGGACTTCTGGACACGCTGAAGGAAGGTAGAAGTTACGTGCTGTAGCAGAGTCTTACACCGGGTCGGGTACCCGCAAATAGTTGCTGAAATCAGGGCCGTGAGCCCGCGGAGCACGGTGTCCATAAAGCGCGATCGGGCGACAGCCGCTCTTACCTCCGTGAGGTGCGGAGCAGAGCCGCTCCTTTCTCCTGCGGTCACCTTCGAGCCGTCCCGACAGTGAGTCCTGTTTTAGTCCTAGTTCAGTTCTGGTTTAGTCCTGGTTTTGTTCTGGTTTAGTTCTGGTTTAGTCCTGTTTTAGTCCTAGTTCAGTCCTGGTTTAGTTCTCCTCTTCAGTCCTGGATCAGTCCGAGGTTAGTCCTGTTATAGTCCTGGTTCAGTCCTGGTTCAGCTCTGGTTTAGTCCTGGTTTAGACCTGGTTTAGACCTTGTTTAGTCCTGGTTCAGTCCATATATGGCGCAAAAGTTCAGCATCTTCGCAGTTATTTTGGTGAGAGTAACTTAAAGTAATGCAATAGTAATGTAATGCCTTACATTTTAAATGCAGTAATATTGTATGTAACGAATTACTTTGAAATGACAGTAATAAGTAATAAATAACGCATTACGTTTTTAAAGTAACTTGCCCAACAGTGGCCATATCCAGAGATACCTCCAGACTTTATAGATAAAGCTGCTGTCTCCTAGAACACACAAACATGCAATCTGACGGTTGCAGTCTGTAGTCCTGCAGTGGCAATGATGGAGGAGAAAGAGCACCATGGAAAGTCTGAGCTTTCCCCTTTGCTGGCTGCTGATAAGAGAGCAGGCTTCCTAATTGCACCTTGCCAAAAACTGAATCCACCTGGGGCACGTCAGCATTGATTCCCATGCTGCAAATCATGGGACGGTCAGCAGTAGAGAAGTCTTGGTACACTTCTGAGACACGAAGAACAGACAGGTCAGGGAGGTCCCCAGAAACACCTTTGTACAGTGTGCTCCTGGAGGAAATGAAAATAACTGTAAATCAGCAAGTAGTGAGACTTTTATGTAGTGACTTAAAGGTTGTATAGAGGATTTTCCAAGGAACGAGAAATCCAGCGACTGTTTGTCCTTTTTCAAATGTTGCGCATGCGTGAAACCACCCCCCCTCCCCTACAGCTCCCTACGTAGAAACGCCTCCTCCCGCCTCCTCCTTACACCAGAAACAGGTTTGTTTACAGCCGGTGCGCTGCACATGACTTGTAAACAACTAACTACAGTGTTGGTTAGGCTAGGCGGAGAAGTGAGGAGCGGGGGGAGGGGGGGCACGGACATTTCGTGCGCGGACGAGAAGTGAGGAGCAGGGAGAAGAGCGGAGCAGGGAGAGAGGAGAGGAGAGAGGAGAGGGGAGCGGTGCGCGGAGATTCTGTGCCCGGAGAAGTGAGGAGCAGGGGGAAGAGCGGATCGGGCAGCGGGGAGAGGAGCAGGAAAGGGGAGCAGAGAAGAGTGCGCGGAGATTCAGTGCGAATGAACTAGCTACAACACGCAGCAGCAAGCGGACTCTTTTTTTGCCTTGAAAATTACGTTTTCAGACATAGGATATCGCTTTCGTGTCCTGAAAAACGTTTCTCTAGCTCTTGGAAATAAAGTACGTTTTCATAATAAGCAGAAGTGACCTGTCCAGGAGTAATTTGGCGACCAATGCGTCAGTCTTTAGACCCTTCGTCTGCTTCAGTCGCGGCATCGCTGGAATGAATCTATAAGAATCACCTTAGTTTGGCTTCGCTTCTTTTCCCCTTGTCTTCTTCTTTCAGCAATCTCAAAAACTGACTTTCTTTTGCGGCTAACTGCTCCTGGATTCTTGTCTGCCATTGCAACAAACTTTGTGCTAACTGCAAGGAAGATATAGGTCAAAAAAAGCTGCTAAGAACTGTTGCGTTGGTGGAGTAAACAGCGTCTGTGCGGCTTGCGTCTGTGGACTGCGTGACAGGCGTACGTAAACCACGTAACGGCAGCGCATAGGCAAGTCAGTTACGCTAGAAATGTAGGGAGTTTGATTGACAGCCTGTCAGCTAACAGATAACGAGGCAGTGTCGTTATCTATTGGCAAATGTTTAGCTGGCCTCACCACGTCCAGAGTTGATGAATTTTTATTCTCTTTTTTTTGGTCATCATAATTACAAGGCTACTGCACCTTTATAATGCTATCATTGACAATTTTAAACAAAAAAAATCCTCCATACAACCTTTAATTATTGGGTAACACTTTATAATAACTACAGCTTATTTAGCCTTAATAAAGCATGAACAAAGACTGAATTCATAAGGAACTAAGACTTAATTAATCATGAGTCACACTTAGTAACTACTTAACTACTACCTTAATTAGCACTTAACTAACACTTAATTCGCCTGTGCTCTAAATAGTTACTCATAATTATTTCACACTTAATTACTCATGAACTCAGCATTTGTGTGTGTATTTGTAAATGTATATTTAAGTACAAATTTGAGCATTTATTAATGATTAATAAGCTATGAGACAATGATTTACTAATAATGCAATGCAATGATAATTCAGGCAGCTATTATCTGTTAGTTAAGTCTTTCTGAGAGCTTTTCTAAAGTGAAGACTAATTATGCTTTATTAAGCATTTGTTAAGGTTGGTCAAATTCCAGAGAAACAATAATCACATTTTCAGATTATTTAGGAATGTGATAATGATTAACAAATGTCTAAGTAACACCATTAATTGATGATTAGTTCAACAAGTAGTTAATACTTTTTTGTAAACTTTTCTAAAGTGAAGACTGTTTGAACTTAATTAAGGATTTGTTAAGGTACTATACGAGCCATTATCTAAGCCTGGAGTGTCTTGACTCATTTCCCCCTGAATTTTAACTTCAGCATCGGTGAGAATCAACACTACATAAAAAAAAATAAGCCAACAAACATGGATATAAAACATCAAGATGTGTATTCAAATAATTTTCAGAACATTTACAAACACAGTGTCAGTATTCTGGTTTGTGAACTCTTTTCTTTTAAAGGTTTCAAATAACTTTGTGAGTAAAAAAACAAATCTAGCCATCAACTAATTAAAAATAAAACAAAAAAACTATAACTTAACAATAAAGTTTTAACATCACATTTAAAAAGGTAAATGAATGAAATGAATACATTAAAACTGTAAAACACCTATCAAATAGGGTTTTTATTGTTTTTTTGGAACCTTTTTAAATGGAACCTAAAAGCATTAAAGGCACATTTATAGTCATGTACCCGTACATCCCCCAGCCTGATGGAGGGTAAGCCCTTCTTTCGGTACCAGTGGTTGCCCCTATAGGCCAGTACAGTTATTTCAATGTCCTGCATTTTTGTACAGGCTTGTAGTGGAAACCATTGGTACAGAAAGAAGGGCTTATTCTGCATCAGACCGATTCTGGGCCATGTATGGGCAAGAGAACTTTACAGATGACCTTAACATAATGCACATTTATAAAACTTCACACAATTCACATTTCTTAAGCATTCATACATTTATTTATTTAGTTTTAAAAGGAATTAGCTTCCTTGAATCTTTTAGAGTTTGGATCTTTTGCTCTATGTCAGCGTCTTCAGAAATAGCCAATGCACATTGGGCTGCAAACACTGACAGCTTCATAGCTTTACTGTAAGTCTGCATAATTTCTTTGTATTTTTCTGGGGCAACTACGTACAATTCGGCAATTGGAGATGTAATTATAACTGTATTGCGGTCCACCCCATACTTTTTGAAGGCTTGACTCATTGTGCCACTTCGCTTGAAGATCTTCAAAATTTTCTTGTACCTGGCCACCACTTGTTTTGGATCTTGAGCTGTAAATAAGTAAGAAAATGAAAAGACTAAAGATGAAATATTTTAAATAGTGTTCTACACTCATTGCTCATTTACCCATATTCTAACACCCTAATTATTCACTGGAACAATTTTAAAAGCATGTTTCACAACTGCTAGGGCAAACATGGTGGGGAACCACACAAGTTCCTTGTTTGCTTACACGCTTAAACACATTATAATTAGATAGCACATACCTGCCATTAGAATAGAATGTGTAATGTGAAATGAAGCCAAATAAATTTTACAGGGTACAGTAGGTTTAACTATACTATGAATAGATTATCTGAAGTTCAATATGTTGGTATGCATAGTAAAAATGGTCAATAAAGTTTTAATTAAACCTCAATTTAAAATCACCAAAGTCATGTGGATGTAGTTGTTGGGAAGGTTGCATGGTGGAGAACTGCCACAAATATTTAATGTCAAAATCGCTGCAAACTTAGGTATTACATAAAATATATGATAAACAAACAAGATATTAAAATAACATTTTACCTCTCTGGCAATATTTCAGTGCCAGTGTCCTGTCTTTTCTCTTCTTTATCCTTTTGTTTTTCTTTTTTTCATCAGATGATGTATCATTGGGTGATATATCATTGGATGATGTATCATTGGATGATGTTGCCTCTACACTGTCTCTTTCTATGTTAGAAGTGTCACTTGAAACCAGACTGTAGCTACTGGAGCTGGGGCCAGGGTCTGTTTTCTTGAGGGCTGTAACAATAATGTCAACAAAATTATTATTTACCACACTTGCAGATGATTCTCAGGTCATGAAACCAATTTTAATATTAATTTTAATTAATTTAATATTTAACACTAAAACAGCACAAGCAAACATAGTGGAATGATGATGAACATTTGAAAAGGTAAAAGTAAATTACCTGCTGCCAGTTGTTCTTTTAAAAAAATGTTGTCCTCCCTCAACTCCTTTATTTTTTCATTTTGAAATTCCAGTTTCATTTCTAACATTTTAATTTCTTCCAATTTTCTTTGGTTTCTTAATGATGCTGTTGGAGCAATGGGGACACCTAAAACACATAAATAAATTAGTATAAAGCTAATTACTCTACATTTAAAAAAAAAAAATAAAAAAATAAAAAAATAAATAAATAAAAAAAATAACGGCCGTTTCCCTTTTCCCGAACCAAACTCCTGCTCCTAATATCCAATGTGGAGTGTACGACTGCGTGCATTGTGTCATAAGCACAGTGGTTCCCAACCTTTTCTGCGCCACGGACCGGTTTTATGTCAATATTTCGCTCTTTTCGGGATAATATTTTCACGGACCGGCGGCGTATAGGAGGTGGCGCGGTGCGCGCAGCGTACGCGCGAAGACGATGCGTACGGGAGGAGACGCGGTAAACGCGGCATGGTTTAGTCCTGGTTAAATCCTGATTTGGTCCTGGTTTAATCTTGGTTTTAGAGCTGATTTAGTCCTGTTTTAGACCTGGTTTAGTCCAGTCTCACCCACCCCACCCCGGTCCTCACTGTGCGGGCACGGTATCTCGGCCACCACCCCACCCCGGTCACCGCCTGGATTAACCGATTTTCTGCGGGAAACACAGTTCTGGAGTTTGGACCTAGTTTGGACCTGGGTCAGTCCTGGCGACCAGCTTGGTGGCCCGCTAATGACATTTTCATTTTGGCTTTTGAGACAAATAATGAAAATATATATATATATATTTTTCGAATCTAACAGCTGAAAAAGTATGCTAACTTTGGACCCTGTTCATGAGAAAACTATAAACACACTTACCGCTGGAAGCGTCATTTTCCTGGATCTCCATCTCTTTGTTAAGTGTTGTGCTTCTAAGCCTTCGTTTGCAACAAGCCATTTCTTTCACGTTTAACCATACACGTATAGCAGAAAGTTGGACTCTGCGTTAGACCATGCGTTGAACATGCGCTACTCAACTGAGCTAGCCCGCAAAGTGAAGGGCAAGCGGGTCTGCGGCTGATGACGTCATCAACACTAATGTTTCTTTCCATTATAAAATCACACTTAAAAAAAAAAAAAAAAAATCTAAATATTATTTACGTATAGCACCTTAATGTTACCTATATTAAGGTACAACTCTAAAAATTAAATACACAATTTTATTGAATTAATTTGAGACGAAAAGACGTCACACTAGAGTCAGAGAAGAGGAAAATGAGCGGGAATTCCTCGTTACGCATGCGCAACTGCGTACTGCGCCATCAAGTGGGTTCGAATCAGGGAATCAGACTGGAATCAATTTTTCTCATACCTTATATCCAACAATGAGCCGATTCACACGCCTTAAGAGATTTTTTAATTGTGAGATGACTAAAAGAAGGACATTAAAACTCATCCAGTGGCTCCAAAGGAAAAAACTTTTGAAAAGTAAGATGAAATGCAGAAGCTGCCATCGGAATATGACACTGAAAGCAAGATCCAACACTGGAGATCGCTATGCCTGGTAAGTTTAGTAACTTTTAATGTTTAATGGTTTAATCCTCCTCGCACCTAGTTACTTGACAGTGTGGCATCGCTGAGAGGAGAGTAAGTAACCCCAAGAGCGAAACTTTTGGATCAACATTGATGCTCTGGAAATTAGTCTATCTTATAATTAAATATATTACATATTTAATTGGGCCAATTTATAGTTTAATTATGTCAGAATGCAAGATACATAAAAGTCTGTTTCGTTAGTTAAAAATCCTTTAAATTGATTTAAAAAGTTCAGTCTGTAGGCAACAGAAGCAAGCTAATTTGGCTACGAGGGCGCACGGGAAGAGCACAAATACATTTTTTAATGTTGGCTTACTGGCCAAAAAAGTTGCATGGGTGACAACCATTTATTTATCATGTTTCTAATATTTGTTCTTTCTTAATAGGATATGTCACCATGCTATGCATTTGGGGAGACCAAAGCAGCTATCCATCAGACACAAATCTATATTTTCAAGGTCAAAATTATCACTGAGGAAGTGGATGCATTTCATTTTCAGGTTGGTAAACTTGATGACAGCAAACAATAATATAGGCTATTGTTGATCTTAATTTAATAGACACATTTATTTTAAAATGTCATTATTGTATAATGTAATATTGATCTAAAACTGGGAGGCAAAAAGGAGATATAATTTGCAAAATTATCTGATTACATAGGTCTAATGTTTTCCCTGGACCTGTTTCTGTTATTAAGCCCTTTTCAATTAATAATCAATGTTGTTTACAGTTATAAATGTAAGAATTAATTATTTACATTGGTGGTACATTTAGCAAATTTCCATGAAAACAAACAAATATTTAAACATTGCATTTAATATTTACAGATATCGTTAGAAATCGTGACAAATTAATTTGTGATAAATATTCATAGTTATAAGTTTTATTAGGAACTCTGTAATTCAAATGAAACACTTCATTGCATTTTTAATTTAAACCAATAGTTTGGATGTGATACATGTGTTTTATGTTTATTTAACAAATTCTACAAAAAATATTTGTATACTAAACATAGGCTCCACTGGCTTTCAGCCTATGGTCCAAAGCTAGACTTTTTTTATTTAATTTTTTTTAAGAACAGGTACAAGCACAGGGTGGACAGGGACAGGTGTAGGTGTTATGTTCATTCAACTCGAAACCTGGAAAATTTAAAGTATTACACAAACTTGCACGAATCAGCCAAAATATAACTTATGACATGGTTCAAGTCAAGTCAAATTAGCCAAATATGTGCTTGTTAATTTCAATATTTTTGTATGTATTTTTAGATTTTGTCAAGGATTAAGGCTAAGACAAATAGACATGATGGATGACTCAGTGCCTGCCAGTTCAGCAACACTTACAAGAATGGCCAAAAAAATAAGAGATGTGTGTTGGACAGCAATGCAAAAGCTGAGGAGACAAACTGGCCAGATGATTGGAGGAAGAAGAGAATTTGTAGCAATAGATGAAAGCTATTTTCGACACAAACAAAAGGTAAGCTTAAGACAATGGTTCATGTAATCTAACAATCTAATATAATCCTTTTAAATATTTGTTTTTTGTTGCAGTACGGAAAGGGCAGAATGGCCGGTGGATGGAAGAGGAAGAGATGGGTATTTGGAATGTTGGTGTGTGCAAAATAATGGTGAAAGGAAGCCAGTTCTACGGCTTGTAGAACGCAGATCAAGGAAGCATTTAGTCCCCATCATTGCTCGGCATGTGAGAGTAGGCTCGTCTGTTATCAGTGACGAATGGCGAGCATATCGGATTTTGCCTCAGTTGGGATACCACCATTACACAGTTAACCACAGCAGGAGTTGGGTAGCTCCAAACACAGGTGCCCATACGCAACATATTGAGAGGGGCATGGCGCTCTTACAAAGAGCAGGTCTGGAGGCTGAGGGGGAATAGAACAGATAATTTGTTATCTGAGCACATTGCTGTAATTGAGTGGATGGAATGGCTGGCCAGAAAACATGTTGATGGGCCATTAGGAAGGTTGATCTATGATATAGGGAAACAATTCAAGTGATCTGTAGAACCTTGTGGTTATCATTGTGGTTTCTTGATGTTTATTTATCTTTAAAAAAAATTTTTTTTCAAATTAATATTTGAAACATTTGGGATTAAAATCTGTAACATTCTCTTGCCCATACATGGCCCAGAATCGGTCTGATGCAGAATAAGCCCTTCTTTCTGTACCAATGGTTTCCACTACAAGCCTGTACAAAAATGCAGGACATTGAAATAACTGTACTGGCCTATAGGGGCAACCACTGGTACCGAAAAGAAGGGCTTACCCTCCATCAGGCTGGGGGATGTACGGGTACATGACTATAAATGTGCCTTTAATGCTTTTAGGTTCCATTTAAAAAGGTTCCAAAAAAAACAATAAAAACCCTATTTGATAGGTATTTACAGTTTTAATGTATTCATTTCATTCATTTACCTTTTTAAATGTGACGTTAAAACTTTATTGTTAAGTTATAGTTTTTTTGTTTTATTTTTAATTAGTTGATGGCTAGATTTGTTTTTTTACTCACAAAGTTATTTGAAACCTTTAAAAGAAAAGAGTTCACAAACCAGAATACTGACACTGTGTTTGTAAATGTTCTGAAAATTATTTGAATACACATCTTGATGTTTTATATCCATGTTTGTTGGCTTATTTTTTTTTATGTAGTGTTGATTCTCACCGATGCTGAAGTTAAAATTCAGGGGGAAATGAGTCAAGACACTCCAGGCTTAGATAATGGCTCGTATAGTACCTTAACAAATCCTTAATTAAGTTCAAACAGTCTTCACTTTAGAAAAGTTTACAAAAAAGTATTAACTACTTGTTGAACTAATCATCAATTAATGGTGTTACTTAGACATTTGTTAATCATTATCACATTCCTAAATAATCTGAAAATGTGATTATTGTTTCTCTGGAATTTGACCAACCTTAACAAATGCTTAATAAAGCATAATTAGTCTTCACTTTAGAAAAGCTCTCAGAAAGACTTAACTAACAGATAATAGCTGCCTGAATTATCATTGCATTGCATTATTAGTAAATCATTGTCTCATAGCTTATTAATCATTAATAAATGCTCAAATTTGTACTTAAATATACATTTACAAATACACACACAAATGCTGAGTTCATGAGTAATTAAGTGTGAAATAATTATGAGTAACTATTTAGAGCACAGGCGAATTAAGTGTTAGTTAAGTGCTAATTAAGGTAGTAATTAAGTAGTTACTAAGTGTGACTCATGATTAATTAAGTCTTAGTTCCTTATGAATTCAGTCTTTGTTCATGCTTTATTAAGGCTAAATAAGCTGTAGTTATTATAAAGTGTTACCAATTATTGTGACAACGGTAAAATATTTCAGTACATGAAACAAAACCTTTGGGATGTTTATTTAAATATTTTAAGTACATAAAGATTATTTAAATCTGATGGATGTTGATATTAATGTTGCTTGTACCTCAAAGTTACAATTATTAACTGTGTGGAATCAGAAGCTCACCCCGCTTTCTTTCTCTCTCAGCAATTTTTATCAAGATTGCAAGCACTTACCACACTCCCTCTGTGGTCTTTCTGGCCTTAGGCTTTACAGAAAGCACTGCCATTTTATCCACAGGACCAGGCTTTACTCCCTATTATAAGAAAAAAAAAGTACTTTTAAAAAAGTGCTATCGTGCATATAGTCATGTACATGTCACTTGAAAAAACTCACCAGAACTCTGGGCTTATGCCATTGTTGTTCACCCTCTGTGCAGCTTAACACTGGGGGGACCACTTGGAGGTTCAGTTGGGAGTAGTGAGCTGATTGAAAAAGCAAAGCAACACAGTGGTTGCATAATGCTTTTCCAGCTTTGCACGAGCAGCTGTAGTGAACCAGCTGTACAGGCTGCGAATCTTTTAGGACCACCTGTAAAATACAATATACAGTGTATTTAATATAACCATTGATTAAAATATTCACAATTTCTAAAGAAAGCATGACTTCCCAAAGCAGTATTGTTTACCTACAGTGTAATTGAATGTATGTATTGTAAGGAATGTCGACAACCTGACATGATGTCCTGTGAAAATGATCTAGTATATGATTTAGGCTTAGATTGGTAACATTCGTCTTAGGTTTACATTGGAAACATTCAACATACAGCTCCCTAACAAAGTTGTCTACCTAAAAGAAAACAATTATACTTAGGATCTGTGCTGGTATTACATACACTGAACACAACCATTTCACACTGCCACTTTCTAAGATCATACTCTGAGCTTGTGAGCTTTCTCTGTTTTCCTCATGGACCTGAAGCACTCTGCCCTGACCACCACTTCTCCTGAGCTCTGATCTTTGTCAGACACTGCAGAAAAATAATATTAGTAAAGTTAGTAACATAGTTAAAAGTTAGTTAATTATTAGAAAAGTAAAAATATAATAAAGCATACATTTGATATAAACAATAGACTCTTCCAGGTCTGGTATGTAGAATAGATCTGTGAATGGCCAAGTACTGCTAAGAATGTTTTATCTCATATCATTTTAGTAAGG